TCACTTCTCTCACTTCTTCTTCTTGTGACTCCTTTTCCTCTGCTGCTTGTGCTACTGCTTGATGATCCAACATGTCCTTCACCTGGATCCTCATCATTGTCTTGATCAGTCTCACTTGGCGGATATGATGCCGCTTCTTGGCTTGGACTGTAATCCTTCAATTCATCTTCTTGCTCTTGGCTTCTCTCTTTCCTTGGAACAATTTCTGGCTTATCGCCAATTGCCATTTCGATTCCACTGTGCGGTGGTAATCTTTTCGTGGGTTTCCTTCCTACCAACGTATCTTGCACGTAGTTCCACGGTGTTCCTGTTGCTTCTGCTAACACTTCAACGTCATACAGTGGCGTACAGTGTCTCATCGTTCTGCACTTGATGATTCCTTTCCTTGTGCTCACAAGGTTCAGGTTGCTCACCGAATCCTTTCCAACGAAGATTCCTTTTCTCCATGCTTCACCTTTCTCCTTGACCTTTGGCACTGCTTTTGCCAAAACTACACTTCCCCATGGTGCTAATGTTCCTTTATATTCTCTGTCGAACAGCACTTCAAAAGGTGTTGATCCTTTCCTTACAACAAACCTGTTCAGCAGGAATGCTGCGTGCTTTGCTGCCCATGGATATAGTGTACTTTCCGAAGTGATTTTCACCTTTGCTTGAGATTCAACTCCGTACACCAATGTCTTAGATAAGTTCCGAACTGTTTGAACCCATCTTTCAACTTGCAATCCTTGGTGCTCATCTGGTGCTACATCTTGTATCTCCGTGTCGAGATTCTTCATTTTCCTTATCCCTTGCACTTTCTTTCTCAGCGATATCATTGCTGGCTCGGTGTCGGTCCTCAAAATGACTTTTGAATTCAACAGCATAAGCACTCTGCAAACTTCTTCAACAACATATGCCGTTGCTTCTTTTGTCGCTACTGGAACCACATGAACAAACTTTGTTGCTTCATCAACCATGACAAGTCCAATTGTCAATGCATCCTTGTTGTCTTTTGTGTTCTCTTCGTCTCTCGTTCCAGTGAACTTGAAATCCATTGAAACTAACGATGCTTCATTCTTCTTCTCTGACACATCGAAATTGTCTTCTCTTGACCTTGTTGCTTGACAACTTTCACACCAATCAGCTTTCGGTAGGTGTGTGAGTTCGTGCTTCTCTCTCTCCTCTTCAGTTGGCATCTCTGGTCTCTTTTCTCCTTTTGGTTCTCTCGTAAATTCCAATTCCAATCCTTTTGAGATTTCAACCAACTCTTTCATCTTGTTTGCTGATACGGCTTGTTTCAACCGTTGCCATAATTGAGCCTTACTTCCAGTCTTTCCTACCTTTAGGAATTCACATGCTGTCCTAAGCTGTTTGAGCGTACTCTCTGATGTAAGCTCAACTCCTGCCACGATCATCGCTTCTTCCATCTTCTCTCCTAAACTTGGCAGTTGCTCTTCGATTTTCTTCCACTTTTTCATGTCTTCTTCTGCAGGCGGTTCACTAGGAAACAGGTTCTCCATGGCTTCTGCTGCTTCCTTTTCGACTTGTTCAACCGTCTTCTTTGTATCACTCTTTTCCTTAGGAGCCTCCATCTCCACGTCTGCTGCTTCCACTTTCTTTTCTTCTTCTCTCTTTTTCTTCTTCGGTGTTGTTCTTTCGTACTCACCATACTCTTCAAGTCCTAAAGACTTCCTCTCTAAGATCGTGATAATCACCGAATTCTCTTCAACTGCATCAATCACAATCTCTTCTCTATCTTTCCACTTTTCAGCACACTCCACAAACTCCAGTTCGCTCCATACGATGTCTTCACCATCGTACCTCGATACCAAAGTAGTTCTGTACTGAAACGTTGTCACGTCATCATTCGTGGGATCATAAGTTGTGTACTTGTCCCAGTCTATCCTTGCTGGCTTCCCATCTGACATGAAAAACCATCCTTCATGATACTTCATCTTCTCGAAATCTTCTTCCATCTGCTTAATCAACGTAAGCTTTCTCACTTGTGGTTCATCTTCTTCAATCTTCACTTGAGCTCTGTAAATCTTGAGGTCTGTCACTGTTGAGTTTCTTGCAAACCTCACTGGTACTCTTGCGGATCCTTTCTTCAGAAATGCATTGAACTGATCTAGGGGATCAAGTCCCCATCCAACTTTCCACAACTTGCCTACGGCAAATAGCGGTTGTGTTACATCTCCGAACACTGCTGAATCACGTACCTTTATCACTTTTCCATCTGTCCTTTGGAACTCGAATGTGATGTTTGCTCTTGTTTCTGTTGTTCTTATCCTGTTGCCTTGGGCATCTTGGATGACCATTCTCAACGCTGGGAACTCAACTCTTCCTAAGTCTTCACTACAATAGCATAGCGGAAGCACATGGCAATCCGCGCCACTATCAAGAACGACTTCAACAAGTTCCGAATACCTTGAGTTAACGGTTCTCACGTAGTGTCCTCGGCTTGATCTCTCATCTCGTCCTTGGTCGAGTAGGACTTCTGTCTCTGAGTCTTCATCTCTTCTGAAGATACTTTCTCTCTCTCTTGCATGCTTGGCATTCTCCTTGTCTACATGCAGATCTTCATACCACTTGTGAAGTTCATCTCTTTCATAATCCTCTTCATCACTTTCATCGGCCATGTTTGACCATTTCAACACTGTGTGGACTCTTACTGCTCGCGCAGCGTAATCCATCACCATCTCTTCGAACATTCCTACAAGATCAATGTAGTCCTCATCCTCTTCAAAGATCTCTTCAATCACTGGCATAGGCGTTGTCACCAACCTACGCACTTGTTCGTTTCCTTTTGCTCCTTGTGGTGCTCTTGCTTGTGGCTGTGTAGAAGAACTTGGTTGCTCTTCATGCCATTCTTCCTCACCTGTCTCTTGGACATTCCGAACTTTTCCTTTTCCACCTTTTCCTTTACCTTTCGGTGCCGACCAACACTCCGAAGAGTAATGTCCGGTCTTACCACAATTGAAACACACAGGTCCATTCTGTCCACCTTTGCCTTTCGCATTCTCGTAGCCTTTTCCTTCAGCCTGCCTGATACTCTTTCCGAATCCTTTCTTTCCAAATCCTTTTCCCTTTCCAAAACCTCGTCCTTTTCCTTTCGGTCTTCCTCTGCCACCTTTTCCTTTTCCATATCCCTTACCTTTGCCTTTGTCTCCTTTGCCTTTTCCGTAAGGGCTTCCTTTTCCTTTGTCACCTTTACCTTTTCCATCTCCTTTTCCTTTTCTCATGTGCAACCTGTCAATTTCCATCGGGATTGGTCCTTGATAAGGCTTGTTGCTTGAGTGTGTTGTCGGGTCTGGAACACTCAACGATCCCCCTAAACCCCTAAACCCCTAAACCCCAAACCCATGAACCCATGAACCCTAGAGCCCCAGAAGATGCCGCAAGACTCAAAAGCAGCAGTTGCGGCTTGGGTCTAGGGCTTCGGGCTTAGGGCAAGGGACAACCCTAAACGCCTAAACCCTTAAGGCCTTAAAACCCTAAATTTAAACCCTAAACCCCTAAACCCCTAAACACTTAACCCCGAAATCCTTCACGGCTGACCATGTCTGATTGCTTCTTTCATATTGCAGCAACTTTGCTCTCAACTCTTGGTAGGTGGTCTAATCAGTGATATCAACCATCACGTGCTGCTTAAGATGCTGTGGAATCCCTTTCAACAAAGTACCGATCTTCAAGTTGTCATCGTACTTCTGTCCTGAAATCTTCTCGTACTCCGTTGTGAGCTTTTCATATGTCAAGACGTAATCCATCAGCGATGCTCCTTTGCTCATGGCTGGGAATCCAACCAATGCTTGAGCCATAGCTAGACTCCTTGAACGGGACGTCGGCTCTAACTCAGCCGTCAACTTTCTCCACACTTCAAATCCATTCATCCGGCTTACGCTTCTTAACACTTTCAGAGGTCTGTTCTTCAAGTAACTGCTCAACACTGAGTAAAGCTTTGTTCCTCTGTTCACTCTTCCGATCTCATTGTTGAAGAATGTGTTTGTCACCTCTGAGCTTATTTCTGCTTTCTCTTCTACTGTTGTCTTCAAGTCCTTCAGGAATTCTTGGTCCATGAACGCTAAGAAGTTCTTGAACGTAAACGCCCAATCGCTCCATTGCGACACTTCTTCTTCAATTGTTGCTGGATTGAACACTTCTGGTGGCTTGAGAATCTTTCCTCCTGTATCAAAGCTTACTGAGGCTGGCCTATCCCCTGAGGGGCTTGTTGTTGGCGCTGCTTGAGCTCTTGCCACTCATGGCATTAGCCAATTGTGCTTGCTGGTTCGCAGTACCCTGCGCAACTCTTGCCATAGCTTCTGTAGCTTGACCTAAATTGTTCAACAGCTGCTCGAACCTCGCTTGCTGCCCTTGTTGAGGATTCATGGGCTGCTGAGGTTGTTGAGGTTGCTGTGCTTGTTGCTCCATCTTTCCAACACTTTGGCAGGTCTGTATGTAACTGGCTCAAGGTCTTTCACTTCCACACTTTTCTCCGACGATGCAAGGTGCTCTTGGCTTAGCCGTAACTCCTCTCTCTTCTCCGGCAGGATGCTCTCGGACTTAACCTTAACTTCCTGCTTCACTCTTTTCAACTTTTCCAGCTCTTGGCTGGCTTCCCTGGATCTTTGCTTGATCAGCTGCTGGCCTTTGCCAACAGCTCCGCTACCATGACAGTTTAAGCCCTTATGCCAGTATACTTCTTATAACCACGGCGCGAGCTTGGATTCTTTTCCCACTCTGAAGCTCCGCTGTCGGGCTGTCTTGAGCCTAGGTTTGACCTTCGGTGAAACACTGGATTCCTGTGTATTTCTATACATAGGGGAAAACTGAACTATCTGTTAAACTTGCATGGTTGTGCTACATGCATGCAAGTCATGCAGCAAGCCGGCCCGCAACAATGTTGGAACACTCCTGCCAAGGAGTCTTTTTCGATGCTCTGAAAGAAGCATATTCCTCCTTCGGCCGTCGAGGCTAGCATTGCATTGCAGCTGCCTAAAATGGCCAGGGCCCGAAATGCTGGATCACTCCAACTGATCCTCCGGGTCGTTCTCGAGGTCCTCGTCCTGCAGGCGTTTCAGCTTCTTGTACGTGTGATCCAATGCATTCACATGTGCTACCTCACTTGAGAAAATTTTCACTGTCCTCTGGAACCGGAGCTTCACATTCAGCTTCTGTTGTGAGAAGGTGTTTGTAAGCTTCATCGAGAGTAACCACATGCTCGATGGTGTCGGCTTTGTAAATCATTTGGTTGAAATTCTCAAAAGGGTCCTCCCAAGGGTTAAAGCCCTGCTCATGCTCCGGCACCTCTGGCTCGGCAGTGTCGCCTCCTTGATCCTGCATCCCCTCAGCAGCGGATTCCTGGGAAGATGCGGCATGTCGTTGCTTCTTGGCCGCCTGCTCCTTCATCTCCGCCTGGGAACAGAATGAAAGTTTAAGCGCATGCTTCATGTTCATGTGACAGCATGTTAACATGCTCCTACCAAGGAGCATTTGCTCTGCATGCCATGATATCACCGAACCCAGGCCTCGCGGATCAAGCGAAGGTGTTTTGAGCTTTCTGACGGTGCCCCGCCCACCCAGCGGCCCTCACTTTTGAGGGCTTCAATCTGGGCGGCCAGCCAGAGCTTCCTCTTTTTTCCTTTGCTTTTCTTCGACACCGGCTGCTGATCCTGAGGAAGATCCCTTTGCCAGGCATCGGTCCCCCAGTACTTTTGGGCCTGCACATCGACCTTTTCCTCCCACGCATCATACTGCTTCATGATGCTTTGCTCTGGGCCCTTCGAGGAGCTGGACGTCCCCTGCTGCCATTTCCAATCATCTTTCTTCCACCAAGGCCGACTTTTTCCGGAGCTCCATTTGTCTTTCTTCCACGAGGAATATTCGTCCTGCCAATCATCTTGGCTCGCCGGGGCGCTTGGCTCCTCACAAAAGCCTCCTCCGCAGCTTGAAGCGTCTTCGGAGGTGGCAGAGGACACTTCTTTGGTGTGGGCATCGGCTGCGGCTCCACCTTGTCCACCATGCTTTGCCACTTTTGGCCCTCCTCAAGGGCCACTCGAGCTGCATCCGAGCTTTTCTGGAAGCCATAGGCATGCTCTTTTTCCATCTTCACTGCTGTCCTCAGAGCATTCCCAGCCTTGTGCTCCAGCGAAGCCCTTTCCCAGGCATGGCGGGCGCCCTCGTAGTCTTGAGGAGAGCTTAGCTGTCCTTTCTTCTCCAAACTGAAGAGGAAAGAATTCGTTTCTTCCTCGCTGGACACAACCCCCTCGATCCGGGTGCCTTCATGATCCTTCTGAGCCACAATTTCAACATCCGGGCCCCCTTCCAAGGGGAGCTCTGGCTCTTCGGACTCCTCCTCGAGGTCTGCAAGCTGCTCTTCCAACTTATTCTGGTAAACTCCATCGGCATAGCCGGAGTTTTTCCAGGAAGTCCAGTCCCAGCTTGGTTGCTGGGATGCATCCTCAGAAATGCGCTCTTTAGCCCACAGCCTGGTATTAGGCTCCTACCGCATCCAATACCATTGGCAATGAATGTTGATGCAAGTCCGCTTCCTCGAATAGCTCGTTGTCCCACACTTCGGACAAAGTCGAACATCTTGCAGGGCTTCTGGTTCAGCACGGCGGTGCTTGCTGAGCATGGCTGCAAAGGCTATATCGACGTTTCAGGCCTATTAATGATCCATGTCACAGCCTGCATCTCCTATACCACGGAGTTTCTTACATCATGCAGTCTCCTACCAAGGAGTTTCTTCATGCACACTCTGGCTCCTACCAAGGAGTTTAGGAATGCAGCTATAAGTCACATCGACATATGCCGTATGCCACTCATGTCGCAATCATCCTCCAGATCGATCAGGATCCGACACTGCAGCCGGCCATGAAGCATGCATGCACTCGACAATCTTACAATTGCTGTGATCACACATGCTCGTCTCACTGCCGCACAGCTGCTCACACATGAAAACTGCTCCGCCGGCCTCCTGCCAAGGAGATCGCGGCGCAACTCGCTGAAGTCGATGCTAGCCGAGGTCGCCAAAAACCTGCACAGGAAATCGGGCCAGGCCCGCCTCCAGCATGTAGGCGCACACGGGCTTGGCGTACCAGCCCCGTCCGACGAAGGGCAGGCGGTCCAGCAAGCCCTTGCGGTGGTCGCAGGGCAGGTCGACCCACATGAGATCCGCCAGCTTGCCCTCCTCCGCGGGGACGATGCAGTCCAGCGGGCAGAACACCGGCAGGGGGAAGCGGGCGTTGGCCAATCCGTTCTTTCGGCAGCGGCACACATCGATGCCCTGACAGGGTCGCAGGTCACTGGCTGCGTAGTTCTGGTACACGTAGCGACAGAACCGGCTCTCGAGGGTGGTGCTGTGGTTGCCCTCGAGGCTCGTCTTGGTTCGATGACACTCCAGGCATAAAGCCTGCAGCTCCTGCTGCTGTCCGACTGGGCCACGGGGATGACGTGATCCATCTCGAAAGTGCCCCGCATCCTCGCAGAGCTCTCGGATCACACAGTCCGCTTCGCCGGGCACCCGCAGCCGCAGCGCGGACCGCACAACCCGCGCATGGAGACCTTGGGGCGGTGCCCCTCCGCCAGCAGCTCCACTCGCACCCCGCGAAGGTTTTCGGAGTAGAAGTATCCTGATTTGATCTCTCCCTCCCAAGCCTGCCACTCCTTAAACTCCGGCACTGGGTTGTCGCGCCTGAGCCGGCGGAAGCGCTGGCGCTGCTCGGACTCGTCGCAGCCGGCCACGGCCCGGGCGCTCCTGTAGAAGAAGCTTGTGGTTCATCTTCTTCAATCTTCACTTGAGCTCTGTAAATCTTGAGGTCTGTCACTGTTGAGTTTCTTGCAAACCTCACTGGTACTCTTGCGGATCCTTTCTTCAGAAATGCATTGAACTGATCTAGGGGATCAAGTCCCCATCCAACTTTCCACAACTTGCCTACGGCAAATAGCGGTTGTGTTACATCTCCGAACACTGCTGAATCACGTACCTTTATCACTTTTCCATCTGTCCTTTGGAACTCGAATGTGATGTTTGCTCTTGTTTCTGTTGTTCTTATCCTGTTGCCTTGGGCATCTTGGATGACCATTCTCAACGCTGGGAACTCAACTCTTCCTAAGTCTTCACTACAATAGCATAGCGGAAGCACATGGCAATCCGCGCCACTATCAAGAACGACTTCAACAAGTTCCGAATACCTTGAGTTAACGGTTCTCACGTAGTGTCCTCGGCTTGATCTCTCATCTCGTCCTTGGTCGAGTAGGACTTCTGTCTCTGAGTCTTCATCTCTTCTGAAGATACTTTCTCTCTCTCTTGCATGCTTGGCATTCTCCTTGTCTACATGCAGATCTTCATACCACTTGTGAAGTTCATCTCTTTCATAATCCTCTTCATCACTTTCATCGGCCATGTTTGACCATTTCAACACTGTGTGGACTCTTACTGCTCGCGCAGCGTAATCCATCACCATCTCTTCGAACATTCCTACAAGATCAATGTAGTCCTCATCCTCTTCAAAGATCTCTTCAATCACTGGCATAGGCGTTGTCACCAACCTACGCACTTGTTCGTTTCCTTTTGCTCCTTGTGGTGCTCTTGCTTGTGGCTGTGTAGAAGAACTTGGTTGCTCTTCATGCCATTCTTCCTCACCTGTCTCTTGGACATTCCGAACTTTTCCTTTTCCACCTTTTCCTTTACCTTTCGGTGCCGACCAACACTCCGAAGAGTAATGTCCGGTCTTACCACAATTGAAACACACAGGTCCATTCTGTCCACCTTTGCCTTTCGCATTCTCGTAGCCTTTTCCTTCAGCCTGCCTGATACTCTTTCCGAATCCTTTCTTTCCAAATCCTTTTCCCTTTCCAAAACCTCGTCCTTTTCCTTTCGGTCTTCCTCTGCCACCTTTTCCTTTTCCATATCCCTTACCTTTGCCTTTGTCTCCTTTGCCTTTTCCGTAAGGGCTTCCTTTTCCTTTGTCACCTTTACCTTTTCCATCTCCTTTTCCTTTTCTCATGTGCAACCTGTCAATTTCCATCGGGATTGGTCCTTGATAAGGCTTGTTGCTTGAGTGTGTTGTCGGGTCTGGAACACTCAACGATCCCCCTAAACCCCTAAACCCCTAAACCCCAAACCCATGAACCCATGAACCCTAGAGCCCCAGAAGATGCCGCAAGACTCAAAAGCAGCAGTTGCGGCTTGGGTCTAGGGCTTCGGGCTTAGGGCAAGGGACAACCCTAAACGCCTAAACCCTTAAGGCCTTAAAACCCTAAATTTAAACCCTAAACCCCTAAACCCCTAAACACTTAACCCCGAAATCCTTCACGGCTGACCATGTCTGATTGCTTCTTTCATATTGCAGCAACTTTGCTCTCAACTCTTGGTAGGTGGTCTAATCAGTGATATCAACCATCACGTGCTGCTTAAGATGCTGTGGAATCCCTTTCAACAAAGTACCGATCTTCAAGTTGTCATCGTACTTCTGTCCTGAAATCTTCTCGTACTCCGTTGTGAGCTTTTCATATGTCAAGACGTAATCCATCAGCGATGCTCCTTTGCTCATGGCTGGGAATCCAACCAATGCTTGAGCCATAGCTAGACTCCTTGAACGGGACGTCGGCTCTAACTCAGCCGTCAACTTTCTCCACACTTCAAATCCATTCATCCGGCTTACGCTTCTTAACACTTTCAGAGGTCTGTTCTTCAAGTAACTGCTCAACACTGAGTAAAGCTTTGTTCCTCTGTTCACTCTTCCGATCTCATTGTTGAAGAATGTGTTTGTCACCTCTGAGCTTATTTCTGCTTTCTCTTCTACTGTTGTCTTCAAGTCCTTCAGGAATTCTTGGTCCATGAACGCTAAGAAGTTCTTGAACGTAAACGCCCAATCGCTCCATTGCGACACTTCTTCTTCAATTGTTGCTGGATTGAACACTTCTGGTGGCTTGAGAATCTTTCCTCCTGTATCAAAGCTTACTGAGCCCTGAGGGGCTTGTTGTTGGCGCTGCTTGAGCTCTTGCCACTCATGGCATTAGCCAATTGTGCTTGCTGGTTCGCAGTACCCTGCGCAACTCTTGCCATAGCTTCTGTAGCTTGACCTAAATTGTTCAACAGCTGCTCGAACCTCGCTTGCTGCCCTTGTTGAGGATTCATGGGCTGCTGAGGTTGTTGAGGTTGCTGTGCTTGTTGCTCCATCTTTCCAACACTTTGGCAGGTCTGTATGTAACTGGCTCAAGGTCTTTCACTTCCACACTTTTCTCCGACGATGCAAGGTGCTCTTGGCTTAGCCGTAACTCCTCTCTCTTCTCCGGCAGGATGCTCTCGGACTTAACCTTAACTTCCTGCTTCACTCTTTTCAACTTTTCCAGCTCTTGGCTGGCTTCCCTGGATCTTTGCTTGATCAGCTGCTGGCCTTTGCCAACAGCTCCGCTACCATGACAGTTTAAGCCCTTATGCCAGTATACTTCTTATAACCACGGCGCGAGCTTGGATTCTTTTCCCACTCTGAAGCTCCGCTGTCGGGCTGTCTTGAGCCTAGGTTTGACCTTCGGTGAAACACTGGATTCCTGTGTATTTCTATACATAGGGGAAAACTGAACTATCTGTTAAACTTGCATGGTTGTGCTACATGCATGCAAGTCATGCAGCAAGCCGGCCCGCAACAATGTTGGAACACTCCTGCCAAGGAGTCTTTTTCGATGCTCTGAAAGAAGCATATTCCTCCTTCGGCCGTCGAGGCTAGCATTGCATTGCAGCTGCCTAAAATGGCCAGGGCCCGAAATGCTGGATCACTCCAACTGATCCTCCGGGTCGTTCTCGAGGTCCTCGTCCTGCAGGCGTTTCAGCTTCTTGTACGTGTGATCCAATGCATTCACATGTGCTACCTCACTTGAGAAAATTTTCACTGTCCTCTGGAACCGGAGCTTCACATTCAGCTTCTGTTGTGAGAAGGTGTTTGTAAGCTTCATCGAGAGTAACCACATGCTCGATGGTGTCGGCTTTGTAAATCATTTGGTTGAAATTCTCAAAAGGGTCCTCCCAAGGGTTAAAGCCCTGCTCATGCTCCGGCACCTCTGGCTCGGCAGTGTCGCCTCCTTGATCCTGCATCCCCTCAGCAGCGGATTCCTGGGAAGATGCGGCATGTCGTTGCTTCTTGGCCGCCTGCTCCTTCATCTCCGCCTGGGAACAGAATGAAAGTTTAAGTGCATGCTTCATGTTCATGTGACAGCATGTTAACATGCTCCTACCAAGGAGCATTTGCTCTGCATGCCATGATATCACCGAACCCAGGCCTCGCGGATCAAGCGAAGGTGTTTTGAGCTTTCTGACGGTGCCCCGCCCACCCAGCGGCCCTCACTTTTGAGGGCTTCAATCTGGGCGGCCAGCCAGAGCTTCCTCTTTTTTCCTTTGCTTTTCTTCGACACCGGCTGCTGATCCTGAGGAAGATCCCTTTGCCAGGCATCGGTCCCCCAGTACTTTTGGGCCTGCACATCGACCTTTTCCTCCCACGCATCATACTGCTTCATGATGCTTTGCTCTGGGCCCTTCGAGGAGCTGGACGTCCCCTGCTGCCATTTCCAATCATCTTTCTTCCACCAAGGCCGACTTTTTCCGGAGCTCCATTTGTCTTTCTTCCACGAGGAATATTCGTCCTGCCAATCATCTTGGCTCGCCGGGGCGCTTGGCTCCTCACAAAAGCCTCCTCCGCAGCTTGAAGCGTCTTCGGAGGTGGCAGAGGACACTTCTTTGGTGTGGGCATCGGCTGCGGCTCCACCTTGTCCACCATGCTTTGCCACTTTTGGCCCTCCTCAAGGGCCACTCGAGCTGCATCCGAGCTTTTCTGGAAGCCATAGGCATGCTCTTTTTCCATCTTCACTGCTGTCCTCAGAGCATTCCCAGCCTTGTGCTCCAGCGAAGCCCTTTCCCAGGCATGGCGGGCGCCCTCGTAGTCTTGAGGAGAGCTTAGCTGTCCTTTCTTCTCCAAACTGAAGAGGAAAGAATTCGTTTCTTCCTCGCTGGACACAACCCCCTCGATCCGGGTGCCTTCATGATCCTTCTGAGCCACAATTTCAACATCCGGGCCCCCTTCCAAGGGGAGCTCTGGCTCTTCGGACTCCTCCTCGAGGTCTGCAAGCTGCTCTTCCAACTTATTCTGGTAAACTCCATCGGCATAGCCGGAGTTTTTCCAGGAAGTCCAGTCCCAGCTTGGTTGCTGGGATGCATCCTCAGAAATGCGCTCTTTAGCCCACAGCCTGGTATTAGGCTCCTACCGCATCCAATACCATTGGCAATGAATGTTGATGCAAGTCCGCTTCCTCGAATAGCTCGTTGTCCCACACTTCGGACAAAGTCGAACATCTTGCAGGGCTTCTGGTTCAGCACGGCGGTGCTTGCTGAGCATGGCTGCAAAGGCTATATCGACGTTTCAGGCCTATTAATGATCCATGTCACAGCCTGCATCTCCTATACCACGGAGTTTCTTACATCATGCAGTCTCCTACCAAGGAGTTTCTTCATGCACACTCTGGCTCCTACCAAGGAGTTTAGGAATGCAGCTATAAGTCACATCGACATATGCCGTATGCCACTCATGTCGCAATCATCCTCCAGATCGATCAGGATCCGACACTGCAGCCGGCCATGAAGCATGCATGCACTCGACAATCTTACAATTGCTGTGATCACACATGCTCGTCTCACTGCCGCACAGCTGCTCACACATGAAAACTGCTCCGCCGGCCTCCTGCCAAGGAGATCGCGGCGCAACTCGCTGAAGTCGATGCTAGCCGAGGTCGCCAAAAACCTGCACAGGAAATCGGGCCAGGCCCGCCTCCAGCATGTAGGCGCACACGGGCTTGGCGTACCAGCCCCGTCCGACGAAGGGCAGGCGGTCCAGCAAGCCCTTGCGGTGGTCGCAGGGCAGGTCGACCCACATGAGATCCGCCAGCTTGCCCTCCTCCGCGGGGACGATGCAGTCCAGCGGGCAGAACACCGGCAGGGGGAAGCGGGCATTGGCCAATCCGTTCTTTCGGCAGCGGCACACATCGATGCCCTGACAGGGTCGCAGGTCACTGGCTGCGTAGTTCTGGTACACGTAGCGACAGAACCGGCTCTCGAGGGTGGTGCTGTGGTTGCCCTCGAGGCTCGTCTTGGTTCGATGACACTCCAGGCATATATATAAAGCCTGCAGCTCCTGCTGCTGTCCGACTGGGCCACGGGGATGACGTGATCCATCTCGAAAGTGCCCCGCATCCTCGCAGAGCTCTCGGATCACACAGTCCGCTTCGCCGGGCACCCGCAGCCGCAGCGCGGACCGCACAACCCGCGCATGGAGACCTTGGGGCGGTGCCCCTCCGCCAGCAGCTCCACTCGCACCCCGCGAAGGTTTTCGGAGTAGAAGTATCCTGATTTGATCTCTCCCTCCCAAGCCTGCCACTCCTTAAACTCCGGCACTGGGTTGTCGCGCCTGAGCCGGCGGAAGCGCTGGCGCTGCTCGGACTCGTCGCAGCCGGCCACGGCCCGGGCGCTCCTGTAGAAGAAGGCGTGGCCGTTCCAGGACGTATACGCGACGGCTTTCTCCTCCTTCTCCCCTGGCTGGAAGCAATCCAATAACCGGCCCCTGCAATCGACGTAGAACATGGGAGCGTTGCGCCAGACACAGAAGGTGCGGATCTCTGCGGGGGAGACGCCTCGCTGCTGCCAGTTCCCGGGGCAAATCGAGTTAAAGTCTTCCATGACATGCTGCAGCGGGAGCTTCAGCAGCTCGGCTATTTGCCTGGGCACGCAGAGCATGTCCCGGCGCTCCTCGAAGGCACCCGCCAAAATCTGGTCCCCAGCGAAGAGCTGATAGCTGACCTCCTTGAGAGCCCCCAGCGGTTGGCGGAGGCGGATCTGCGTGTCCACGCGATTGTCGATAACTTGCGTGCTGGAGGAGCTGTAGGCCCACTCGTTGGTGGGGTGCAGGAAGTAGACCTCCCCGGAGATCATGTAGATGGGTTCGTTAGGCCCCGGCTGCCCCAGCTGTCGGAGCACGGACTCCTTGACGTTGCGGGCGACCTGCGCCTCGCTCCAGGCGTCGTTCTGGCGGGACAACCCCATCTCCAGCGCAGTCACGGGCAGGTAGTCATGACGCTCGTAGGGGGTGCCATTCCGCCGGCGGCCCCGGATTATCACGGGCACATGAGCTAACCATTCTGTGAACTTGTCTTTGAAGAAGGCCTTTCCCAATTTTGTGACATGGTACTGGCCGTTGGGCTGTAGGGACCTCACGAGCTTTCGGGCGCCCCCCCTCGTCAGGATGTAATCGTTGGACCCGTCCCGAATGAGAGGCTGAGATTCATCGAACTGGCGGCTCGGCGGTCGCCGACCGGTGATGCTGTGGTAGAACTGCCCGGCCCGGGTCAGCTGGCCATTGGGTCGAGACAACAGTACGGACTGCAGGCGGTTGTCCCTCAGAGGCAGAAGCTGCGAGCCTTGCGCTGAGATCCGTGGTCTGGCCCCAGCGTCGGCTGCACGTCGTATCGCTTCGCGTTGTTGCATCCACGACATGATTTCTAGGAGCCCAGAAAAAAAATACTGGCCCGCCGAACGAGCCGGGGCGAGACAGCTGAGACAGGTGAGACAAGAGGCTAACTAGACTAAAGCTGTTTCATGGGTGTCTCAGTTGTCTCATGCTCGGTTTTCGAGTTAATCTTTCAAAAAACGCCCAAAAACGAGCCTGAGACACTTGAGACAGCCCTGAGACAGCTTTAGTCTATTTAGCCTCGTGTCTCACCTGTCTCAGCTGTCTCAGCTGTCTCGGTGGCCAGCGGCGGGGGTGGGGTGGAGGGTGGGGTGCGAGGCTCAGAAAAAAAGAATGGCAGAGAGCCGCACGAGCCGGGGCGAGACAGCCGAGACAGATGAGACAAGAGGCTAACTAGACTAGGGCTGTCTCATGGGTGTCTCGGATGTCTCATGCTCGGTTTTTTGAGCTAATCTTTCGAGAATACGCCGCCGACCCAGATTGAAACAAATGAGACAGGCCTGAGACAAGTTTGCTCTATTTAGGCTCTTGTCTCACCTGTCTCAGCTGTCTCAGCTCCCCTCCGGCTCCGGCAGATCAGAAGGGGCACCGCTGGGGCTCCTCTTCCTTGAGCATGAGATCGGTCACTTCAATCAGCAGGCCGCATTGGCCGCTCATCATCCAGACCTGCCGGAGTTCGGCCCGCACCTTGCACTCCCGGTTGGTCAGGTCCCCGGGTTCCTGCAGCGGCCCTCCCTGGGCGTCCCACCAAACGCACCTGATCAACACAGACCTTGAGCTTGATGAAGCTGTTGCCTCGGGCGGAGGTAAGCGGCTCTCCGTTCGCCGCCTCGTTGGGCTCCAGGCACAGGGGCAGTCGCCGGGCGTCCTCGCCGTTGTAGGCCGTGGGATGCCACAGAATTCGGATCCAGTCGCACTGCCAGACCGCCGGGCCACCGTCCTCCGCGAACACGGGGAAGAACTTGCCGCCCTGCGGAAAAGTCCGTCTTGATCCAAAATGGACAGCACGGACCGTTAAAGTGTGATGCAAGCATACAGAACTTAACGGCAGGTGCTTCTACTAAAGAGAACAGAGTGGAGCACAGCGGTCTTTTCAAGCTGGGGTTCACGGTGCCTTCTTGTCTGCCTCCACGACTGCAAGTGACTAAGATACACCAACCAAAGACAAACACCTGCACTGTCCTGCGATGTCTGTCAGCAGTCCTGAAGGCGAGTCTGCCCACTCTGCCAAAAGTCTGAGAGTCTAGCCACCTTAAGCGTCCTGCGAAGGCCAAACACTCTGCTGCAGAAAAACTGTCTGTCTGCAGGGCCCTCAAGCAGGTGGCTTCCACTTCCTTTCTGCGACTCTTTGTGTTCTGCAAGCAGACCGGCTGAGACGGCTGCTTAGGCAAAGTGTAGGCTATTCCAAGACTGACGAAGCTTTCTGCAAAACTTGTCGCCTTAGACCCCGTGAGGGCCGCCTGCCAGCCCAGCAGTCTGAAAAACAGAAGGAAGGAGGCCTCTACGTTGGCTGCATCGGCTGACAAACAGACTGAAGTGAAGTCATCGAAAAACACGGTGACTGGCAAGAGCAGCCACTCGACTGCGATGTGCCAGAGGGCTAGGCTACACGGTGCACGGAGCCAGTGGCTTTGAAAGGCAGAGCACGCAGTGCCAGGACTACGCGTCTGTTGTTGACTGGATCCCAGACTGCAACCTTGCAAAACTGCAAATCGTCTGCGTTCACGCCTAGTTGCTTGTAAGCAGCTTTCAAGTCAAACGTGCGACCCCTGAGACTGCAAGCAGTGCTTCCTGGAGAAAGTCTGGCACACACTGACTGCAAACGCAGAGCTAGGGCTAAAGCGCAGGCTGCGGGGTGCACCACTATCTTCTCGGCTACGCCAAGAGTCTGATTCACGAGGCTGATCGACAAATCGTCGGTTGGTCTGACTTTGTCTCCCTGCTTGACTGCAAAACGTCTGCCGAGAACGCAGGATGAGGGAGCCTCCACGTGACCTGTCTCTAAGACTGCCCAGCCTGCTTGGCACTCCTGCAGCGTCAGGTCCCACAAAGCCTGGTCCAAGTCTGGGTCGCCACCGGGGCCACACCTGGACCACACGTTGTGAGAGGATCTGGCCTCCCAGACTTCGTCCCTGTGCAAGGCTGGGGGAGAAACCTTGGTCGGTCTGGCCTCTGTGTCTGGCAGCCAACCTGTCTGAGACGAGTGTCTTGTCTGGGAAGTTGGTGCTCTGCAGAAGGCAGTCAAACAACCTCAGGCGCTTTCCTTTAAGGATATGCTGCATGTGAGGCTGCAGCGCCTGATGGTCTGAGTCTGCGAACTCCTGCAGTTCTCTGGCCTTGTCTGCCATAGCTCTGAGACGCTGGCAGCGTAGGGCCTGGATGTCTGCAAGACTGTCAGAGCCCAGACGGTCCACTACTGCCTGAAGCTCTGGGGGTGCCTGCACTCGGCTGCTCTCTGCAGAAAAACTTCTGGAGACACTGGCACCCCTACAAGAGCCCACCACTGACCGTCAAAGACCGAGGTCTTGATGGTAGTGGAGCCTGTAGCAAAACGACTTCCTGTGAGGCGCAAGCCTGGCACGAACAGGAGCCTGTCAGTGGCAGACACAAGTCTGACCCACTGTTTGTCTTGGAAAGGATCAAGACTGACAGGACTGTGAGTGGCTTTAGGGAGCATGCCCAAAGAAGCTCTTTCGCTGGCTGCATAACGAGCAGTGCCGGGACTGTCAGAAGCCCTTTTCAGCACTCCTTGTCTCTCAAGAGACTGAGTGAGCAGACTGGCCCAATGGCTGCAGAGGGCTTTTGGGTAGGCTGCCTCGGTTGACGTCGCCCAGCCTTCTGCTGTTTTGCCCCAAGGCAAGTGGTTGTGACCAAGTTCTGGACTGCACCTTAGCTGCAATGACTGTACGGGGGGGTCGCTGGCCCAGAAAGTGGTGGCCTTTTTACGAGACCCGCCGTACACGCAAGAGTCGAAAGTGGCAAAGTAAACGTTGCCTTGTAGTTGCTTCCACAGAGACTGAAGAGGGCTGGTAAGCCAGAACAGGCTGGACTGCGGGTTCTCAAGAGACCACGCAATATTGCGGCTGTGACAAAGCAAGGTAATTTCAGAAGTAAGCTGGTACAGTCTGTTGGCTGACCTGACCTTGTGACGGTGTCTGAAAGGCAGGCCTGGTAGTCCATCTGGGTGAGCTGCACTACGCAGAGGGACTGGAGATCCAGGTCCTGCGTCTATGTGCCTGGCTGCACTACTGGTACTTTTTGACTTTGAAAACGCGGGCGAGGCTGTAGTCTCTACCATGCGCGCGGGTGGCACGTGAACAAGTCCTTTAAGACCCGGTCTACATGTACAACTATTGTGCACATGTGACTGCGCACAGGTATTCTGCACACATTCTGCCATCGGCACGAGTGCCAGCATGGCGCTCCGACACGAGTGTCAGCGAGCCGTCAAACATGAGAGTACGGTGCAAAAGACAGCGTTAAGCATCCAAGGACAAATAAATAATATGGCAACCACTGCTACTCTGACTACGCTCACGAGTTGTAGGCCGTTTGGCCTTCACTTTGTCATTTGTAACAAGCTGGGTCCCATCATCATGCAAAAGAAAGCTGCGATAGTGCCCCGATGTAGGAGCATCCCCAATGTGGCAAGTAACAGCACGGACCCGGAAGGTCACCCAAGCAATGGAGCCAGCTCGAAACATTGGCAGATCACATTCGGCGTCGACCTGCACCGGCAGTTGGCACTTCTGAACCGTTGTATCCAGGACTTGGAAGCGCTGTAGCACGATGCAGACATGTGTCTCAAACTCGTGAATGCAGGAGTAGCACGTTTTGTTCGCCCAGATTCGTGAAGGCTTGCTGTGCCAAGTCGCGACACACTCCCTCAGAGTGCATCGCTCATCACCGGCTCCACCTGAGAAACCGGCAGAAATCGGCATAGCAATAATCCCTGACCCAGAGTCCTCCAACTCAAAAGCAGCACCTGCACTACTGGTACCGCAAGGCGGCGCTAAGTGGACTGCTGCGACCCTGCCTGAACGCAAAAGTTCAAAAACAAGCTTTTGGCTAGAGGGGCGGCTGAGGTCAAGACGCAACGAAGGAACTCCCTGAGGCTCCACTGTGTCAACTGCCAAGACTTGCAAACCGACTTTCGAAAAGGCTTTGGCCATGCGACCTGTGCCTGCAAAAACCTCAAGGAAAAGAGAGCCGTGCTTGCTTGTCTGAGCCGGCTGGAGAAACGTTCTGTGCCGAGGGCGACGCGCTCATGGTCTCCTGACAGGGTGCTGCTGAAGTTCCTGAAGCAGAGGCAGAGGGCAGCTGTGTCAAAACAGGTTCACCTGGGCTGTCAGGGGTTGGCTGAAGGCTTTCTGTTGTACTTTGTGGTGGCTCGGGCGCTAACACAGTGACTGACTCAGCAAGGCAGGTGTCGTCTGTGAGAACTGCTGCACGTAGCTGGGCTGCAGTTGCTGCGCCTTGCCACGAGAGTCACTTGTCACAAGCAGAAAAGGAGTGATCTCCATGACATTTCATGCAAATGTGCAAACCACGGCGGCAGCTGAGGCCTAAGTCTGTCTGCCAAGTCTCTTCTGAGCAACCATGAGGCAGGCTGCGATTGAAGCAGATGGGCTTGCCTTTGAACTTGGGATCGAGTCCCTTAAGGGCTGCAGGCAGGGCTGTCTGAATCTTGTCTTTGCCCTTGCCTGTGCCCTTGCCCTTGTCATTCTTGCCTGTCTGCCACGCCTGAGACATGAACTTGTCTTTGCCCTTGCCTTTGCCTTTCCAGGGTTTATCGTCCCCTTTGAAAGACTGGTCCCAGGTGCGCTTGAAAGGCTGCTTGTCTGGCTTTTCAGGTTTAGGCACCGGCACCAAAAAGTAAGCAACTTGCATGATGTGCTGCCACGTCTGAATGGCTGCATCAACTGCGCCCGATTGACCAGGGGCTGTGAAGTTGCTCTTCACCGCTTCTGAAACCCTGATCCACATCTCTCTGTCTGCTCTCAAGAGCGAGTCGATCCCTGGTGGATCAAACTTGGGAGGAGGCGGCCTGTGCAAGTGCTCAAGCAACGAGCGCGAGTACTCTTCATGAACCTGAAAAGAGCAAACGCCTGCCATCTCCAAGGCCAGACCTCGTCTGCTGAGAGCCTGAGACACACGCAGCTCAGTGGACAAGTCCACTTTAAGCGGCTGCGGTTTGACTGCTAGCCTCAAGGCTGCATTCTCCAATCTCAAGAGATTTTCATCTTTCTTCACATTAAGGGACCTAATTACACTTTTTTCAGGTGTCTCTTCGGGACACCTCTTGAGCCTGACAAGGTGCAATCCCGGAATCGAAGCTGCTCTGGCAATCCCATTCCTGTAACACGTCGACCGAGCTCCCAGCATTCTGAAAAGTTGGCCGCGGCTTCCCGCGGAACCTGGGTGCCATACCTGCAAGCACGGGACCATCGAATAAACTGGCACGAGCGACTCTGTGTGCGCAAGTGACTCACGGCCGCGAATATGCCGTCCAACATGGCCTGGTGTACGTCTTCAACTGTGCCAGGACTGCGATTGCCGCCAGCCTGTGGTACCCTTGCGCAAGGCGGCGGTAGTGCATCATGCCAATAAAGCCATGTCGACCTGAAAATTCCCATGTCCGCTGACTAGCGCCCATGAAGCTAAGCTAATGCCACAGTGCGGTTTCATGTCAACTAATGGCGAACGCATCCGGCAAACTGGCTCTGAATATAGTGTGGTCGAAGCTAACACTGCAAAAAAGGCGGCTGCTGAGCCACACAGAGGGAGTTGACGACTTTGTCACAAACTCACTGGCGGGCTGGGATGCTGGATCAAACCTCTAAGGACCGTATGATGCAATGCGCAAGCTACTGCTCAATCCGAGCGGTCAATGAGACAGGGCAATTCCGCGATCAACCGGACCTGCTCTGGTGACGTGCCGGAGGGCGCCTCAGGCGGCACACTTTTGAGATAGCCCTTGGCGCCTGACATGCCCCAGGACAACTTGTATGACTGCATGGTAAATCAGTAGATGTGCTGTGCGAATGCCCATGACAATATGCTGCGAGAGAGCAGTCAGACAGTTCATCACGAGTGTGCTGACAGTGTCTCTACTGAGCAAGCAGCGGTCACGAATGGGGCAGATCCAAATCTTCACTTTCGGGTCCTGACCTGTGCAACCTGCAGAAAGCCGCATCACCTTACACAGTCACTGTCATGCTTCGCATACTGCCGATCACCGCCCTAGGCGTAGGAGGTGGCAGGCAGCTACCCCGTCGCAGTAGCAACGTTTGCAGACAGCAACGGGCTCTAACACCTTTCGGGCTACATGTTGACAGCCTCCCTGAAATGTGAAGCAGCACCCGAGCTGCAGGTAATCCCCAGCGAGGCTGGCACGTCACAGGCACCAACCAACGACTTGTTGGTAGAATCACGGCACGCCGTCTCTGCCATGCCAGCAGATCCAGGACAGCGCCTTGCAACAGAGGCAAGCGCACTGATGCTCGTCCATAACAAATCTGTTTGGAACCGCACCATTCCACACAAACGTCACGGTCAAATAAATCAAATAGGCTGCGTAACTCACATCGACCCATACACACAAAGCCCGCCCTGCACAACGTGTGAGGTCAGAACTATGTAAGCAGTCCGATGACGGGAAGGCACTTGCATCGGGTGCGGCGAATATCAGGAACAGCTTTGGGGCGTAACGAGAACCGGTCGGAAGACACCGTAACGGAAACGAGCGGCCGAGTTAACAGCGACCAGGCGACGAGCATAACACGAACGAATAGGAACCGTCATCGGAAACATGGGCGGGAGACTTTTATGATCTTAAAAGTAGGGAACCGAAAACCGGTCCAACACGGGCATCCCTGAAGAAGGCAAATAAAAATGGACAAAGACATCGAGGCATTGGGGCACGCTGACACACATGCGTGTGCTGCTACATGGATACTCAGTAGGTTCACACAACCAACCTTATGTGTGTGTGTCTCGCATGCAGGCAGAAACTGATAGACAGGCAGGCTGACAATCGCAACAGCATTCGCTTGTTGTGTAGCTTCATAGGTTCAAGATGACGCAAGAAAAATTGAAATGCTTGCAGATACGGTCATATGTCCCCTCATGTGTGCACGCATTTGTTTGTCACCCAGGTGAAGTCCGCGAACCCCTATAGTGGGAACCTTGCAAATAGAACATGATATTTCAAGCACGTGCAGATAGAATACTTTTTAAGTTTGGTAAAATGACCGATTTTTACCAACCCTCCGCAGTTGCAGATGGAATATTTCCATCCGCGTAAAAAACAAGGAATATCTTCGGCCACTTTTACCAACGCGCGCACTTGCAGATAGAATATTTCCATCCGTGTAAAACCAATCAGATAGAATATGATCGAATATTGTTGTTTCTATGTGACCAGCCATCCGCACTTGCAGATAGACTTGCTCATATACCAACCCCTAGAACTTGTGATGCGTTATATAACAGGTGAACAACTGCGCGCTCGCTGCGTCTGACCTGCTGAACCCAGGACATGGCTGCACAAGGGAAAACCTAGCTGTCTCTGCTGAAAAGTCCGTCTTGATCCAAAATGGACAGCACGGACCGTTAAAGTGTGATGCAAGCATACAGAACATAAATGAGGTGGTCCCAAAGTGGTAGAGAAGGTATAGATAAGGCAAATGTAACGGTATTTCTGTTTAAAGGGTCCCCCGCCCTCCTCGCCCTCACTCTCACCACCCCCTCCGCCCTCACCTTCCCAATCGTAAGGATAAGCTGTAACAATGAAATACAGAGCTCACACCGGGAGGCTCGGCACCGACGAATCAATCAGCTTCCAGATGCTTCCTTTTTCCCACCTGCATGAAAAAGCATAATCTTCAACAGCCGCAGGCATTTAGAATGAAATCACTCCATCGTTATCGTTGTCAATAGGCTGGTCACCCTTGGGTGCTCAGCGTTATCGTTGTCAATAGGCTGGTCACCCTTCGGGTGCCTCAGCCCTGTTTTTGGGCGGCACGGAATCTGCCAAAACAGCATGCGGATCAGGGCTGGTCCAAGAACCGGGGCGCGAGAGATCCGTCCTGGGCCAAGAGCCGCTAGGATCATCATTAGGGGGATCACGCACATGTGCGCGACAACTTCGAAGGAGACCCCCAACCACGCTTCACCAATCCAGCCTGGGAGAAGCAGCACGCAGACTTTCACACATCTCTCTGCGAATGCCTTTGACTCGACTGGATGACTGAGGAAGATTATTGGCCAAAGCAGGGCTTCAATACCAGCAAACACCCTCAAGAGCCATCCCATGACCATGCCATCTTCCATAATCCTGTAAACGTACACCTGTCGGAACTGCCAGATTAACCCGAGAGCGGTCACAGAGAACAAGGCTCTGCTCCAATCCGACATGTCTTTGAGTTGACCCGTCACCTCCAGCACCGAGCGGGTCTGCACGGTAGAAATCTTGATTGCAATCAACGAAGCTATCATGTCGTCAATGGCATCTACTTGCTCATGTTCCTCAATCTCGTGAAGGATTCTTCGGAGATCTTCGGCACTAGAGCTTGTGGCCTGCCTGACGGTTCCTGCGAAGCCCTTTGCGAGCTGATCTGCTTGCTGCAAAGCTCTTGTGGTGCGGTGCCAGTCCACCTCCAGCCCCGTTGATCCAACGCCTATCAACACAAGGCGAAAAAGATTTGGCAGATTAGTCAAACCATCGAAGGAGGCCCTCATCGCTATGGAAAATGTAAGGGAGGCAGTCATACAATGAATTGCTATTGGGATTGTCGCCGTCGCTCTCCTGAAGCAGCAGGTGAAGGTCGTGGTCAGCGACGAAAAGGCAACGAGTGATAGGCCCGTGCAAGTGAAAGCAAGCCACAAGTTCTCGTGCAAAGCCCAGTTGTCCCAGCTTATGCCGTACCACTCGAGTCCTGGTAGTGGATACAACATGCCCGCTCCGAAGCCAGCGAAGCCAGTGCTTACAACGCGAAGTGTCCTGGGCCATTGGTTTAACAAAGGCCGCTGTGCAAGCCCAATTGGCTTGTCCCAGGCAGCAGCCAAAAACGCCTCGTAAACGCACCTTGGCTGACTTGTGAGCCCCTCCACAAAGTTTGCCACTTTTTTCCCAAACAATAGAGAAACACCCAAAAAGCTAAAGGCGTGAGAACAAACCACAGAACAGCCAAGGCACCAAACCCTTGTGTAAATACTGGACACATGATTTGGCACCACGAGCATGGACGACGACTTACTCAAAGCAGTGGCAAATGGCGACTCTCTCGGCGACTGTAGCAAATCCGCAATGTCCAGGTTTTGTGGATTGGACAGGAAGCAAACGTACGCCCCTCTAGCTGCTCTTGGCCAGGAACTCACAACCTTCTCGACAAAGTCAAAAACGCCCTCAGCCCAGCCGTGAGTGACGAACAGGTCGCATAAGCACCCCTCAGGGTGCTTCATCAACGCCCAACTGACATTTCCAGCAGCTGCAGTCACCGGCCGGATCATCTGATCGTTGACAGTGTATGCCGATGGCCCTACCATTACGTCTGATGCAGAAAACTGGTCTAGATCTGTTGGCCTGATACTCCCTGACTTCACAGCATGATGCACCAACCGCTTGAACTGGTACAAGTCGTCCAAGCTCACACCCCACTTTGCTTGCTCCACTGTTCTGTGTACGACCGCACCGTCATGCACGAGTTGCGGACAAAGAACATGAAGATCTTCTTCTGTAGCAGGGGCTATGCTTGGGCTGTGGCAGTAGATCATCAGGCTGGTTGTCAACACACCAAGACCACCTAGGATAGTCAAAGCAACAGCGAGCGGAAGCCAAATCACGATATCTCCACACCCGTCGGAGTTGCTTTCTCCTCGGCAGCAGGTGTAAGCAAGCTCGCCCAAGTGACTCACATTTGGAAGATATCCCACTGCGAGAGGGAAGTATCCTGGGAAACAAACACATCGTTGCGTTAGAGTGCCACCTTTGCACAACCATTCCTCTTGATACGCCCTGCGATGCCATGGACATACATTTCGCTCACCAAAGGATCCATCCGGGCACAGATTGTAGTTTTCCGGTGGAAAATCGGGCAGGACCTCCGTTGCCGGAAGGGGTTCGAAGGACTGGCTGTGGTTCTCCATGCTTGACAAAATCTCCTTGAAGAAAACTTGGTCACTTGAGGTTGAATTGTCTCGGGATCCAAGCTGAACTTGTGGCCATCCAAACCAGCTCAGGTCCTGCCAGTCTGGCGCTGTGCGATTGCGACCCAAGTCGGTAATGTTGTGACCGGGCAGGTCGAAGACGTAAGCAGTGTGGACGTGTCTGATGTGGTCATCTTCCCAAACCCAATCCATGCCTGGCTGGCCTTCTTGACAGGCGCGGAGCCATAAGGGGCGCCCGTGGTGATAGTAGTATGCCCTGTCAAAGGTGACACACATCGCTTGGAGGGTCCCATCACCGTCATCAAGTTGCTCGAGGTTGACAAGCCATGTTTTGTTGAAGTACCAAACATCATTTGAGTTCCGTCCCCTTGCGGCTGAGCCGGCTGAGCATTCTCGCAACTCCAGGAAACGCTGGTAGTAGTCGGAGCGGGTGATGCACTTGTGTGGGGCAAGAGCGCTGCGAATTTTGAAGAACTCAGTCGAGGCGACTTCCGCAAGAGATGCCGCAAAGAGCCAGGCCCAAAGAAGTGAAAAACTGGCCATTGCTCTGGGGCTTAGTGCGGAAGCTGCCGAGTCTTGGGCCTGTGAGTGCATGAACAAGCCCGATCGGCCTGGCCCTGGCTATGAGGACATCATGAAGACAACATACATTGGGGGCTTCTGCATGTGACGAATGTCGCGGATTCTTCGTTTTGAAGCGATTGCGCCTGGCTTCGTCAGCCTGTGCACATCTTTGCACTGGGCTGGCACGGAGTGGGGATCCGCGCTCTGGCAGTCGCAAAGAGCAGCTGCCAAGGTCTGCTCGTCCACAGCTTGCGGCGCTACTTCCACATCCGCCATCAGAGCGAGACCGACATGACGATCATCAAAGGGCCGTCCTGCTCTGTTCCGGTCCGGTTGCATCCCAACGCACTTCTCAATGTCCTAGCCCTGCCTTCGACATCTTGTTTGTGGGCAGACTCAGATGAAATGCTTCTTCTCGTAGTATCTCATCCTGACAGCCGTGCGGGACGACACGCGTCTTGACCGGAGGCTGTCAGTGTCCTGTTCCACATCAGTACGCCAATTGTCACCGTGGCCACTAGAAGAACCACCAGCATCCAAGACCTTCAGCATTCCCCGTATTGAAGCCTTAGAGTGCTGCTACGGCATGACCCGGACAAATTCTTTGTCTGCGACTGGACCTTGACATTCCTATTGACAGCTTGTACTCAGTAAGTGCAACACATCTGCGAACTTCTGGACACAACCTGGGCGCTTGAACGTAACACTGATGCAGCCTAAGGGTTTCACGGCATCAGGCCTTGAGTTGCACACGCTCTTCTCGAGCACAGAAGTTTGGTCGACTATCTTCGAGATGGACGACCCGGCGGCCTGATGCACAGGTTAGTGTCTTATGGCCCGCTCACTGAGTACACGCATTTGCCTTGTCGGTTTGCTGCTTGACTTCTTTCAAATTCTTCTGCACGGCCTCGACCACCGCTTACTGAGGGCGTAATCTGAAACGAATGAGTGCAAGGTGCTCAGACCACCAGACAGGAACTTGAGATGCTCAGGCAAGAACCACTGCAGGTATGACTCACAGCTCTTAGTTCCCCGAATGACAAAGATCGAGAAGGAGAACCAGATCCCATGGCCTCAAGCTTGTGCATGTGAGCTGCCCCCTCCTGGTCACTTTTCTGAATCCTATGATGCATCTGAAGACATGCGTCCGTCACCCACCAAAAATCCTTGTCCAGTAGCCTGCGGAGGCCCATAATGTGGACCTGATGTGCATATGTATATATATATATAACATTCTAATCTTCTTGTAGACAAAGTGCATCCAACACTTGTAATTATCAAAGCAACCGAACGGGAGATGTTTCGACATCTGCACAACCAATCAACGCACCTTCATCTCCTGCAAATTTGTCGCCTTCTTTGGAGTCCTCGGCACATCTGAGAGTCATGCATAACGGGATGAAGGAACAGTTTGCGGGCAGATTAGTGGCTTTCTGCATGCGCCCTGCTCTGCCAAAAGCTGGCACAACTGGGATCCGGAAAAGAGGCATGTGTTTATGTGATATGTGCGTATTTTCATGGAGGTGATCTGCAATACGAACAAGAAAACGAATTATAGAAAAACAACATATGATACAATTTACAAGTATATACATGTGTATATATATATATATATGTGTGTGTGTGTATACAAACTCATCGGGCCCGAGTCGCCCCTCGAGGGAATCTGAAGAGAGGAGAAGAGAGGAGAAGAGAGGGAAAAGAGAGAAGAGAGAGAAGAGAGGGACAGACACAGGCCCACAACAATGGGTAGACAGGCAAGCAGGACAGACAGACAGACAGACAAACAAACAGACAGACAAATTGACGGACGGACGGGACAGGACGGGACAGGACAGGCAGACAGATCGACCGGCAGACAGACAGACAGACAGACAGACAGACAGACAGACAGGAAGACAGACAGAGAAAAAGGAGGAAGGGTAGAAACGGCCTTTACTGAAGAGAAAGACATCCGCAAATATCTGCAGAGAGGGAATAAACTCGTATGGCTCCATGGAAGGCACTTTGTGTAGCTGTGCTTCAGTGAGCCTTAGGACACTTTTCTGAAAACAAGGCTGCACTTGCTGCACCTTTGGGCCTGAAACAAGGGCGCATGGCTCCAGCGGACAACGCAGCGCCAGCCCACCCGTGAAAGTGAAGCAAGAGTCCGTGGTTCAACGTTGCAACGAGACGGCTGCTATTCTGACTGTGGTGAGCTTGTTTGCCTCCAGCCCTCAGCCCCTGTGAGTGCAGTGATTGTCCATCCGTGGCGTTCGTCAGGGTTGATTGGTACGCAAGCCTGGCCCTGGCACCGCGTCGCCGAGGATTGAAGCGGCATGCCACACACGTCGTGACGCGAAGACCCGGGCTCGGCAGCAACTGGGCTCGGTGCTTCGCGCTCTTCGGATCTGAAGCGAGGACCTGCATCTCTTTCGTCAGGAGACGGCAGTCGCTGAAGGAAAGCAACACTGACCCAATCTGTTTGGCTGCAACCGAGGAGGTAAGGCAGCTGCTTGTTCAGGGACTCCATGAGGCTTGAGACCTGGAAGGCCATCACATCGTATGTCGGCCTGGCAGCACGTCACGGTGACGGAAGCTCGGGCTCGGCCCTGGGGATGCGGCTTCGTCTCGTTCAAGTGTGCAGACAACCTCTGTCCAAGGACTGAATGTCTTCATAAGAGTAAGACTAAGAGACGATTGCAAGAAGCGACAGGGAGTCAGGCATTGATGTTCTTCTTCCGATGTGCTCCGTCTGAGCTTGCTGGTCCTGGAAGTATCTCGAATCCTCTGACATCAGCGCTTCGTACCTCACACCATCAAGTGGTACTGCTTGCTATGCAACTGCCGTTTCTGAATCCTGCTCTTGATGTCACTCTGGAGCACGCAATCTTATCCTTGGCACTGGTCCCCATGATGTCTTCACCGACTGCCTGGACAGCAACTCGAGAGGTCGAGAGCTGATTCCACTTCACAGCGACAGCGAAGAGGCATACACTCACATCCAGACTGCTTCCCAAACCTACCGCCCGCTGTCATGTGCACAAACAAGTGCCAGGGGAGGAAAAATGGCATAAAGGCATAAAGTTTATAAAGGAGACCTGGTCATCGAAGTTCACCACCTGCACCTGCAGGAGGCCCCATATCAATTTGCAAAGTAATCCGTTGATTGCACCCAGGCACGCAGCCTTTGTCAGTGACACGCCATCCGGAAAAATTTGGTGGAAACTGCTGAACCTTCCGACATGAGCAGGACTTGTTTTGCCAACTTACCATGCCCCTGAAGATGCCAGTCATGAAGTTTGCTGATCATTGATGGTATGCCATTAATATCCGAGAATCTGTAACTGAGCAATAGAGCGGCGGGAGTGGAGGGGGAGTGGAGAGCAAGTGGGGGGAACAAACATAACTAATAGACTACATCCAAGCAGCGGCAGCTGCTTGGAAGCCTCGTGTGCTGTTGGGGCCGTTTGTTCATCTGTTCTGGACTTCCGCAAGCAAAGCTGCTTGTGGGCTTGGGGCCTTCCTTAGTGCAGGTCGTGCAGAGGCCGGCTGGCACTCAAGTAGCCGGGGTCGTCAAAATCGGGCAGACTCTTGACATCCAGCCTTATGGGACACCTGCAGGACAAAAGAAGTACAGCGGCTACTTCTTATGTCCTTTAGGTATCCTGTTAGGCTTGATGCCAAGTGTCTGCAAGATCTTCGGCATGACTCAGACACTCTGCCCTGTAGGACTTGCACTCCGAGAGCTTGGAGCCTCCTCCTCCTTTGTTCCGCTGCATGTTTGCACCTACCACCCGCACGAAAGGCGATGGGCGTCGACATTGCTCCTCCATGCTGAAGCAGGCTTAGCGAGACTTCTGGTGTCCTGCAGGTGTCCTATCAAGCTTGATGTCAAACGTCTGTGAGATTTCGGCAATAGAGGGTCACAGCAGGTCAAGCCAGCTCAGCCTGGAACTTCAACAGAAACCCAGCAGACAGTCTAAAACAACGGCAGATGCAATCAAGCGACCGCTCCAAGCTGTAAAGCCGATGTAGCCGCCTGCCTCAGCTGTAATTTCGATAGCAACATGCATATGTCTGGAGGATCGGAATTCTAAAAGTCACACAACATGCCCAGATGGAAATATATGGACCGCAGATCTTTAAGGAGGCGGCCTTCACAGGAAAGTTCTTTCGATCTACAATGAAGCATTCTTCGGTTTTGCCATCAACAGTGATCTGGCCCTGGCGCATGCTCGTTCTGAGACAAAGGGTGCTGACAACATGTTTGTGGAGCAATGGACATCCCGAAACTTGAGAAATCGTGCCTGCACTGAGACGGGCTGCACCCGAAGCTTGAACTCGACGTCCTTGTTCCTGATACCCCAGACTTTGATGGTTGTTGTTGCCTTTGCAGGACAGGTGTAGGGGCACGACAAGCAAGTTGTCTCAGACAGCAGCTGATGGAACCGACCCTGGCTTCTTTGCGAGGTTTGCAGTCGAAAAAACCTGGTCAACAGAAGTCGCGTGAACTCACTGTGCGCCCAGCAGCTCCGATTCAAAAAGCGCCTTCGCCGTTGATGTTGAAAAGTGCACAAGGCGCTGCGAGTCAAGTGTAACCCCGCTCCTTCAGGCCCTTCGACCAAGAAGAGGCCTGAGGTACATGAGACACTGATTGCATGTGCATTGCAGGAAGTTTCCAAAACGGTGGCTTTTCGCCTAACAGGTTCCAAGGCTCCGTGCACGGATGGCAGCAGATTCGTTGAAGTGACCAGATATGTTCTGCCGGACAAACCAGAAAGCGAAGCTTTGGTCATCCGCGACCGGCAAAAGTGTTTCAAGGTGCGTCCATCTGTGGCATGACAAAGCCTTCGAAGGATCTCCAGCTCCAGAAGTACGAAATGAAAAGCTAGCCTGCTCGAACACGAGGCATGAAAAGACGGATGCAATATTTCCTCAACGATATGTTCGTTGTTCGAAGCCGACATGGAGCGCAATGCATAAAAATCGGACTTGCCGACAGAAACGCTGTCAAGTTCGAGAACACAACAAGCACATAGCATTTGTGGCACGCGATAAAACAAAGAAATCTACTGCATTTCTCCTCGCTTCATAAGCTCGTGCAAGCGGCTGACAAAGAAAACTCTCGAGTGTTTTGTTGCCCCGACATGGATTGTCTTGGTTGCATTTCACGCAGATACACAACACATGATGTGGAACAACTCTGTCCCACAACATCAAGTGTCGTGCTCGGTTGCAACCTCTTGGCTGAAAAGATACCTCGAACATGTACGGACCAGTACTGTGGAGGGCCGACCTGGCGAAGCCAGAATTGCTTGTGTTTTGCGGGCCTGGAAATGGGGTCGCCCGACAGCCCCATAACGTGGGCTTCGTCCTGGCAGTGCAGCGGGCTCGCCAGTTGACCCGCGCGGATTTTTGGTGTTCTTTCTGTGGATGGGAGTCGTAGTTCAAGCTCTGGGAAGTTGACCGACGTGGCTTCAACGTTTCCCTTTTGGTTTTGCAAACTCGTCGGCCAGACTATGCAGCTTTATGGAGGTAACCAAAACAGAGATCGTACAAAGACAGGGAAATTTTTCCAGAGGTGACTCCAGCGTTTCTGAATACAGCAGATCAAGCCATGCAGACTCTCTGTACTGCACAGGAACTGTGATGTGTCTTCGCAAAGTCTGCTGGAGCCTGGTCTAGGTTTCCAAACCATCGCCACAGTAGTCTTCTGGAGTTCTAGCATTGTGTCCTTGCGGATGGGCCATGTTCATCTTCTTTCTGTTCGTGGCTCGACGTTGTTGTGCTTTCGCCCTCCTCTGATCATATGGAGAACTCCTTGGTGGATCGCGTGGAGCGACTCATAAGCAGGAACGAAAAGCTTTGAATGCTGCCAAAAAGGAGGCCACCAGCCATATTCATCTTCTTTCTGTCTTTCAAAACGCCTTTAAAGGCTGCCTGCTTGGGTTTGCTGATGGCCTATGGGTTCCCAGGCCGAAGGAGCCTGGAGTGTCGTTTCTCTATCTGCCTACTGGATGTCCTCTGCGTAGCAGGACCTGTCCGGAACTTTCTGGCCTAATGGATTCTCTCTGGCAGAAAGTGTCCGGAACCTCGTTGTTCCTTATATGGCCTAATCGATTCCCTGTGGCAGAAAAAATCAGGAACCTCGTTTTTCCATATGGCCTAATGGGTTCCCTCCGGCAGAAAGTGTCCCGAACCTTGTTTTTCCATATGGCCTAATGGATTCCCTATGGCAGAAAGTGTCCGGAACTTCGTTTTTCCATATGGCCTAATGGATTCCCTCTGGCAGAAAGTGTCAGGAACCTCGTTTTTCCATATGGCCTAATTGATTCCTGTGGCAGAAAGTGCCCGGAACCTCGTTTTTTTATATGGCCTAATGGATTCCTTATGACCTATCCTATGGCCTAACCTATGGCCTAATACACCTTCCCTATGACCTAATCATTTTCGCGTTTTAGGAATACAATCTTTTCTTTTCCCACACGGAAATGATTAGGTCATAGGGAAGGTGTATTAGGCCATAGGTTAGGCCATAGGATAGGTCATAAGGAATCCATTAGGCCATATGAAAAAACGAGGTTCCGGACACTTTCTGCCACAGGAACCCATTGGGCCATATGGAAAAACGAGGTTCCGGACACTTTCTGCCAGAGGGAATCCATTAGGCCATATGGAAAAACGAGGTTCCGGACACTTTCTGCCAGAGGGAATCCATTAGGCCATATGGAAAAACGAGGTTCCGGACACTTTCTGCCAGAGGAATCTGTTAGGCCATGACGTCGCGATGCTCGCAGCCTCTTCTGCTCCGTGTGAGTGACAAGATGAGTTTCCAACTCCGCATGTTTCCAGTCGGACAGTAGGCTTGCTGGGGATGCGAGAGCTTCCTCCAGACGGTAGGGGTTGGCAGGGTTCACAGACGCGACGTCATAGACTGTTGTGTTGCATGTACGGACCCCCCCCCCCTCCATTTCAATGATGTCGTCTGCTCGGAGGTGCGTGTCGTCTGCTTGCGCAGGGCTTTGTGGCCGTGCTGCTCCAAACATTGAGATTTGGGGGAGGGGGATGTGCCGCGGTGGCCTTGTCGGCGTGCCGGTGTCACAGCAGTACAACCGTTTCTGATGGTCAGGTTCTTGTCCGTTCGGAGGTCAGTGGCTTAAAATCTGGTCTTGTTCCAGCTACCCTCCCAATGCGTAGTTTCTGGGGACACATGGTGGTTCCCCCTCTGTATCGAGAAGGTCGGCGGATGCTACGGATTTTGAGAAATGCACTTAACTGCGGGACCCCCCCATTGCAAAACGGGGTTGCATCTTCATTTCCGTCAAATCTGTTGCTCTTTAAGTCAGTTCCATCATGTAATCGGAGTCTGGGATTGCTTCATGGTTGCTTGTCTCTTTTGGAACTTGCAGACTCGAGGTGCATGTTGCTGTCAAAAATCCACCTCTATGGCCTCAGCAGGCCTCAAGCGCCCGCAAGTGAAGCCTCGAAGGCCTTTGTGAAAGTGGTCAGCGCAGGCGGCTCCAAATGTGGGGTCGAATAGTCTGAGCAATTTTAGCTTCGCTTGAGTGGCCCCCCTCTGTGCGCGCTTCTCTCATGTTAATCACTTCCACAAGCACGTGTCTGTGGAAATTTCTGGTTCTTGGAGAGTCTTTTTCACACTGGATGCCTGCCGTGAGCGGGTCGCCTCGGTGTGTAGCAGTCTGGAATGCAGGGGCTTGGGCTTGGGCTTGGGCCCCAGAATGAAGGAATTCGCGACCCCAAAATGGGGGCCGCCACGCGGCCCCAATTTTGGGTCCTCTATAGTTCCCAGTCAAATATATTAGAGGAGGTTGGCTGCATTTCGCGGCTCCTTTTCTGGGGCCGCGAGACGGCCCCATTTTTGGGGTCGCAAGTTTGATCCCTGCACCCACAG